GGAGAGGCTCGATCTACTCTTCTTCAGCGCCGGTCTCCACTGGAATTCCTCAAGGCTTCGTCTTGGGACCACTGCTGTTTATGATCTACTTCAACGACCTTCCAGACGTTCGTGCAAGTTCATGTCTACTTTTTGCGGACGACTTGAAATCCCGGAGTTCCAATGCCAGTGCCCTCTGAATGGATGTAGACGTTGCAAAGCAGTGGTCGTTGGACTGGCACCTTCCTCTGAATGACGAAAAGTGCATCCGTGTGTCATTTGGAGGAGACTCTTCGAAAGCCTTTGTCATGCATCGTGAGAAAGGACCAGAAAACATCATGAGGATAGACGCCAAAGATGATTTGGTTCTCTGGGTCTCCGCAAAATTGTCCTCACTGTAGCATGAGAAATCGTCCCAAAAAGCATTTGCCATTTTACGGATAACCCCACGCACCTTATCCCGTATCACTCGCATAGACTTCCAAGTACTCTACGGGGCCTACGTCACACTGCTCCCGGAAAACGCCAATCAAGTTGTTTACTCAGGACGTGCGAAAGACGTAACCCTCATTGGGAGTGTCCAGAGAGCCGCAACGAAAACCTTTGTCAGCCACAAATCCGCGGACTACAAACCCGGTCTCGCGATGCTTGATCTCTTTCCCCTGGAGTACCGTCGCCTCCGAGGGGACCTAATTCTTACTTAGGCTATGTTTGGAAAAGCTTGGCTCATTTGTCACCAGCCACCACTGGGAGGCGCTCATTGCAATCCGTCGAAACTTCTGTCGGATTTAAAGAACCCGGCGACTTTTATTCGCACTCCTCACCAAGTCATTCATTGTTGTACAGTTTGCGTGAACTCGTTTTCCCAATAACTTGTACACTCGACCCTGCTCAAGCAGCAACACTAGTGAGTCGCTCAGGTTTCAATGCACACCGTGATTCTGAGTTTTCTACTACCATTTGTCCGTGCTGCGTATTACGCCACCAAACCATTCCCACTTACACTTTCCGCGGTTGCACGCCCAACAGCATAAGGCCGTGAAGCCCTAGTGACGGTTTTGGGCTTTAGTTCAAGTTGGCCGGCCATGTCGCGGTAGTTCTGCTGCCTCTCCTGATCCAGTATTCTGCCTCCACACTTCCTGCATAGTGAAGCTTGTTTTGTTTTTCTGCCACGTTCCATGCAGGAAGCTCTTTCTTATACCCTCGCCCGTATCGTTTTTGCCCGCCCCTTTTAAATCCTAACCATCAGATCTTGTGTCATCTGATATGTTCTTCATAGGAGATAAAGAGCCCTTGTAATTTGGGATCCCTAATCATATCACCTCAGGTGTGATGAAGTCTACTTCGTTAATGACCACTGTTTAAGTCACTGTCCCTTTTCCAGGAAATTCCCATTAATCGCAACCCCCATCAGCCATGCTCTTGTTAAGACTGTAATACTATGACCATGCCTGACGGTATGCAACCCACTAGTTGGGAATAAATATTATTATTATTAGTTTATTCGATGTACTTAAGTGATTGGTAACCTACGCGATAGATAGATAGATTGGTAGATAGATAGATAGATAGATTTACAAAACACAGCACTGGCGATGCCTCTTAGATCAGTGGTGAAACATCTGCGATTCAACTCTCGGTCTAATCGAGCAAATCAACAACCAACGGATTAGGCATATTTGCCACCCTTGAGTGTGTGAGGACCGAGCAACTGGAAACTTTTAAGTGCCCCGTGGTGCCATATACATTATGCCGTATCGGACTCCAAAAAGCCATCCGTATGTCATTATCTTTGTCTAGTTTTTTCGCCCCGGTAAGCCACTGCAAACAGCCTGGGCGCTAACGTGGCATGGTGGCTTAGGAACCTGTGCTTTTAGATTATAATGGCTTGACTTCAGCATCTACAAAGTTGTTGTTGCAGGTTTATTCAACGGTTCCAAACTGTAAGCAAGTTAGCCAGGATTATGTAGATATTATCATGATGGAAAAATTCGTACACGATTTTGCTCAAGGTCGTCCAAGTTACCGACTATTAATGGCCATGTAATGAAAACGACCAGGTTGACCCTTTTGTTAGTTTACCAAAAATAACCTCTCTCACTTGGAAGAATGCGCCGTCACAGTCAACCGCAAGATGCCATTACCTAATCCTAATGCCCGGGAACAGTGCTCTAATGAAGAGAGGTAAACGAGAGTTGTCACCGTTAACACGAGTAACGAAAAGCCTAGATGAGGGCCCCACTCAGGTCTTTACTGGATGATATACCATATTATACACTTTGGACAAAAGCGATTTTTGCGATGCGCACCTTCGAAGTTTTACGATGGCGTTCGAATTGTGACTTATGGCTCCAGAACCCGCCAGCTGACTCGCAGACGCCGGCCTATTTACTTCATGTATTGGAGCACACGGTTGTCTGCGACTTATTATCAGTGGATATAAAAGACTAGCTATCAAAATACAGTTTTTCTTAGCTCTATACAGATAGGCCAGTATTACGTGATCCTCAGGCCTAACAGCAAATACGGGATTTACAATGTGGCCAGCATTGCATGGCTTGTTTGGCTGTTCGTTCCCGGCCTTCGCATGACATTCAACGTGTGAGATGCTTACTGCATTAGGGCTAAAGTATTTATTCCTAAAATGATTGGTCACACCTAAAGTTGCGTATGCAAGCAGGCTTCACCACCGTATGGTGATTGTAGAATTGTTGGTAATTTGACATCCTCAGACTTATCATCGGCCTCTTCATAATTAGTAGTATTTGCCAATAGAATACAGCAAACGACTAACGATCCCAGAATTCCTACTCTCTTGCATCTTTGCACGTGATCGATGTACTTAATTTTGAAGCCAACCAACTTATTTTAGTGGAGGGTGCCCCACAAGTGGCGGTGCTCCTGAAACACCTACTAACTTTTACCCCGATCAACCACAGTCGGTGTTTGGACAGTGATATGCTACACGATTTGGATAATCAAGGAACTTACGGGGTGGGAATTATGCACCACGCAATATGAGAAAGGAATGAGCACGTGGCAAACAGGTCGACTGCCAGTGGAGATGCTTGCTAAGTGCGTGCATTGAGTCTACCTCACGAGGTGCCGAAGACAATGAATTATCATATAAAAGGCCACTTTACTTGCTTGTCAACTCTTCACCTGCACGCAAGGGGGTCTGTGAAAGGTTTCACAAGTATTTCATTTGCAGCGACAAAACGTGCAGCAAGGTTTGAGACTAAGCATCATGATCACACAAATCGCTGCCTGACTATTACTTACGTCCAACCGACAATCTGCATGCATTTATAATTTACTGAAGAACAAATTAATGTGGTGAAATGCTTTCCGAATGGAGTGGTTCAAACCATGAAAAAATTTCTGAACCCTATCTCTAACGTCTTCCGACAAGTTACCACTGTTTTGATAAATCAGCTAGTCCAACCACTGCTCGTAATTTACCTGCGTGGAAACAACAGGTGAGGGCGGATAGCGTGGCGCAAGTTCGAAGTCCTTTCGCCCCTTCGCCAGTAGGTGGTCGTAAAAATTTCTTGACCATCTTCCGTTTAGTGTCAGTATACTGCGCTGCGCCACTAAACAAAACAACAGGTGGAACAGGTTTCTCTTAGTCTTCTTTGTGACAGTAACAAACCAATAAACTTTTGGCGGTGGGTAGTGCTTCAAGACGTTCCTCACAAGTAAACAGCGAAAACAAGCGCCACAATGAAGGACTGCACGGATTACGCTCAATTGAGAAGCTATTTTAAGTTCGGCAGGACCTTCCAAGCCATGTTCTCCATCCATCATTCTCTGAAGTGACCAAGATAAAGCATCCTGTAATGCCAGTCATTTGCTCCCAATGGAGTGATGCATGAATTTGACGACATCGACGCCGCCCGTTATCAGGAAGGCATCTAGTTTATGCATGGGTCCATAAAACAATGTTTCGAGCTAGATGTTAGCGGAAGGGGCTTACCCTCTGCAGCTTTTATGCTGAGGGCGCCCGAAAACCAACGAAATTATGCGATATGTTGATGTTCGGCAGAACAGATACCGTCAAGTTGCCCATTATTGTCCACACGAAAGAAGACGCGTTCAGATTCACGACCGGTTAGGAAAAGATTACACGTCACTTTAAGTCGCTGAATGCCTCAAAAGTAACTACTGACCTAAGAAGGTGACATTTATCATGTTGCTCTCAGTCTTTAATGCTGTAGCATTTTCTAAGTTGACTGAAAGCAAACTATTCCGCTTATGGTGAAGACGTCCGGTAACTTGCAGATGGGTGGCGGCCGTTTGTGGGAACTCGAACTAATACCATCTGAATCTCACGAAATAACCTAATGCTCACATGGTTTTGAAGCACCCGGCGGGAGTTGACTATCACAATATAATTGCGTTCTATGTAACATTAGACACACGAATCTCAAATAAATAAATCTGTTGACTGTGCCGTTGTTTACCTCCATATTTAATCCAGCAAACTACTACGTCCCTGACGCTTTGTAGAGCGTGATTATGGCATTTATCTCCAGAGGTACGTACAAAGCATACGAAATGTCAGTCTATATGAACAAAATGCATTTTAACTCTGACAAAACGACCAGAACGCCACATCTGCCAGAATGGAGTTCCCCAGTTGTCCCATATAAGTGGTGGATGCTCCTGCAAGAACTATTTAAACAGTTTGAAAACTTCGTCTGCATAATAAACCAATCAGAAGTAACGACACATTAGGATATAAGCCCTTCAACCACTAATTTATTGGCGAGCAAACTTCCGGGCCGCCAGGAAATGTATTATTTTGCAGGGAAATTACAATCGAAGCAAAGGCGATCAGAGGGTCCTTTTGGTCGGCGCATAACCATTTCATCGGCGTACAGCCTAAATATTCAACTATTTACAAGCCCGAAAGTGACGCTGAAGCCAACCAGTGCCTGGTAAGTAAAAATTGTCTTGCAGACACCGTTATTTGGGGTTATCACCACAAATGTCTAAGTAAGTATTCAGAGTACGTTTTTCTGCGACTTTCATGTGGTGGAGATTCCTCTGGTTATGTGAAATTCCAAGGCGATACACACATTGAATTAGGAAATGTTTACCTGGAAAGTAACTCTAGCTTGCTTAAAAAGGTGATTTTCTTGAGGTGAAGGGATGCGAACGAGGTTTCTTAGTTGCAATAATATGTTTGGGTTTCCGTAAATCACAGTATCCGCCTTGACGCAAAATATGCGGGCTATTTCGCCGCATAATAATTGATTCCCAGCATAATCTGATTTGAGCAGGGGATGCGAGGCCTGTTTTCGCCGCCTTGAAAATCACTAACCTCTGGATCTGGTACGAACTTCAAACGGTTTAGAGACTCCAGTACTCAAACTTTACTCACAATACGGATAAAAAGCGGTATGTGTGCCACAAATTTTAAATGGTCTTGGTCCATGGGTACATTTTTGGCTTGAAGACTATCAAGAAGGTCAGCTCCCGAAAGCAACCTTAGAACGCTCAAAACCTACCGATATCCTTAAACTACGGTAATTGTGGTGAACGTTGACTCTATTCTATTCATTCTGTTTAGTATATTTTTATATGCCTTTGTTTTACGATGCGATTGAGTGTACGCCCGTGATATTCGAGAATATCCGATATTCATTCGTCCATATTCGGACTTCTATACTACGCGTACATTCGGCAGTTAAGATACCCACCACTATTCTAATTATCACAGTAATATCTCAAGAAAAAATCCAGCAAGTATTCAGCCTAATCAAGCCTGCTGTTAATTGAGCAACGGCTTGGATCATTGAAACGAAATTGAATTACCGTGAGGTTCTCTGTAAGTGGCGAACTTGCATGCATCCATTTGTTCGCAATAAAGCTGTTACCTTCCTTATTGGTGAGGTGTTTCCGTCAACAGGCACTGGAGCAAAAGCAGCGGTCAGTTGTTACAAAAACTGCGTGATATCGCTTCCAGAGCAGCCCTGTAGTATTTACTGGCGGAACAGTCCTCAATCACAGGTAGCGTTATAAACTGAGGGCTACGTATATGGTGCTACGGGCTGTCACATGTGGGAATTTTTCAGATGTATATGGTAACCCTTATGCACAACGCTAACAACAAGACCCCGTCGTCAGTCAGAGAGAAATATCTCTATTTGGATAAGCAACTCAAAAGGCTGTTATCGCTCCTGATACACAGCCAAACGAACCTAGCTTGCTAATAGCCTAGTGCACGACTAACAGGCTTGCGGTCCAGATTGCAGGTTGAGGCCTGTATGCACATATGTATAGCCAGGACCTTTAAGGTAGGCCACCAGTGGGTGGTAACCATTCTTTCAGGGTCGTCAATTATGTAATATGCATGCTATGTAAGCACCAGGGTACAGTGATTCTCCGAAGACAGGTGTTCACAACAATTTCTGTGGATGAAAAACAGAAATAAAGCTCATGAGCCAAAGCTCAGTAAGCCAGGTTGTGTATCACCACAAATCAAACTGACGGACAACTTACACTACAACAGTCGAGGTGCAGGATAAATCGAACGTCGCTAACACCGGACAGCTAAACTAGCCAAGCTCATGCGCACAGTAAAAGTGTGCTTATTCATCTGAACCTAGAAAATCAATGGTACAAATAGGACGGAAGGCAAGTTTGAATTTCATTGTTTGCTCCGATAATTACATATGTTCTGGAGGGAATGTCTACGGCTTTCTTGGTGCTGGATTTACCGAGGCTTCGGCACACTGAAATGAATAGGAATACGTTGCCCGGCAATAAATCTACCGATTTTTACCAAACTCATTCGAAAAACGAGAAATACGTCTATTTACCACGCTGATACTATAAGTTGGCGTGGCTGATAACAAACTCATTCCACCGCCCAATCTAATAATAATAATATTGTTTAGTCGCAACTTGTAGGTGGCATTCCGTCAGGAATGATCGTAAGAGCCACTACACTCATCTGCTGGTAGGCGATTTCAACGACATAAAGGCATCCTGGATGGAAATCCAGCGCGTCGTATCAGGCGGAAATTTTGCAGCGGCGCTGGTAGAAGTCATTCAACACAGCGCTTGGACTCAACACGTCGTTTAACCCACCAGATACCGCGCAGGCCAACTACCGTCCCTCCTGGATTTGGTCATCACCAACGAAAGGCACTTCGTTGATCAGGTAACAATCAACGCTCCACTGGGACATAGCGACCACTGCGTGCTGGCCTGTGATTTCGTCTGCTATTGGGCCAGAAATCCTGAACCTCAATCGCGGCCTTGATACTTCTGCCGTGCACACTACTCAGGAATGCTCATCTTCCTTGGACAAGTCACACTGGAACCAGCTCCGGCGGAAGAACTATATAGGACCATTGTCCAGGAAGTTCACGAGGCTGACGCGACATTCGTCCCAAGAAAACCGGCACGCACTCGGATGAACCGCAGGCTGCCAAAAAGGATTCGGCGACTTCTGGAAAAAAGATCCCAACTCTTCAAAAGTTTGACTACAGGGGATACAGAAGATTAGCTGGCATTTCATAAAATGCGGAACCGCTGGAAATCGGAAATCCGCCAATGGAACATACGAAAACAAGCCACCATTCTGGACCTCGCTCGAAAAAAACAAGTCTTGTTCAAATACGCGGGACATCACCGTAGAACCAAGCCATCCGCGTTCTCCTTGAGGGACAGAAACGGAGAACCAACAAATGACCCAACAGTGGTATCTGAGGCTTACAGAGAACACTATGCATGTCTATACTCAGCCCCAGCGTCCTCGTCAAATCCACTCTTGTCAAGGAGAAACTATGAACAGCCCCTAACCGACTTGGTCTTCACGGTGGAGGGAATTCGTCAACTCTTGCACAAGATCAACCCATTCTGCGCGTTGGGGCCCGACGAGGTCCATTCAAGGATCCTGAAGGAAACGTCCTCCAAACTGGCAAATCATCTACACCTAGTGTTTCGCAAGTCGCTTGACGAAGGCCGCCTTCCCTCTGCTTGGAAGGAAGCGATTGTCACGCCAATCCACAAAACTGGTGACCGACTATCGCCTGGCAGCTATAGGCCTATAAGCCTCACTAGCGTGCCGTGC